TAAATTTTTTTTTTTTTTTTTTTTTTTTATCGCACAAAGGGATATACGTGGAGGGTACAGAGTGACACTGAAGAGATCACAAAGCACGACAGACATTAGTTCTCTCCCTCCCCAGCATCTCCTTCATCTCCCTGGTTTTCCGACGTCCACAGCTGCAAAAGAAAAACAGAGCTATAAACAAAGTAGGGCTACTAAAAGCTTCCTCAGGGAGGTGGCCCAGTATGTATCATCTCATCTCATTCAACTGTTTAAAATTCTTCCTATATTACTGCAGACAGTGATGGTAAAGGTCAAAACTTCAGTAGGCATTTATAACCAATTAAAAAACTTAACTACACTTACAGGGTACAAATCCCCTCTTGAGTCTTAGGCAAGAGTGAATTACGAGGTAAAGGAATGGGAATAAGCTATAAGCCCTCCAGAAGCACTCATGGAATCGCCCTCCAGAAGCACTCATGGAATCAGCAGTACTTACAGTGAGATTGTCCCTAAGCAACTGCATGATCAGGGTGCTGTCTTTGTAAGACTCTTCATTCAGTGTGTCCAATTCAGCAATCGCTTCATCAAATGCCTAAAACAAAGAGCCTTCAGCAAAGAAGTCACAGGTTCCTTGGAACTAGTTTAGCCCAGTGTTTTTCTAACAAGTGACTATCATTTCTCTTTCTGTACAGTACTTTGGGGGAACCTAGGTCATTGTTACCTTGTTTGCTAGTTATGTCAGCAAACACATGATGCTGGTTTACCAAGCGTCAACCAAAAATGACAAAAATTCCTAGATATGACCTTTACCTATTAAGTCAACAGGTATTACTGTTAACCCAGCACACTCATTCTAAGCAAACTCACATGATTTTTCAATTACCAAAGACGCTTCTAGTAATCCGCCCTTTTCCTTTAAGCTGAAAACTCAAAAGGTCTGGATACAAGGGATAAATGGAGAACAGAAGTTCACACCACTAAATCTGATTCAATTAAGCGATGGAACTTTGAGCATTCATTTCACACATTTTTACCAACTAAAAATTTTTAAAAGAGTGTGCATATTGAAAGACTATAAAAATATGTAGAAAAGGCAGCTGGGTTACCAAAAGAAGACAGGAGGCAATTCAGCTAACAAAGAAAACAAGATCTGATTTCCTTCCTTTACAAGCCATAACCTCCAATCTTGGTACAAGGATGACAATGTACAATACAGTGGAGGCCTACAGTCCAAAGCGTGACAAAAACAACAAACTATCTTCTCCCTGGATTGTCCACAACCACCCCCAGCCCCAAAAGAGTAATCAAACAACACAAACAAAAGTCAGCAGAAGGCACTGAGAAGTCAAGCAGCAATAGGTGTGTATTTATTCCATAAAAGATATATACTCCTTCCCCCAGAAGAATCTTCACGAAAGTCCAAGAAAATGAGTTATGTTCAGGTAATTTAAAAAAGGTACCAAAAAGCACAAGCAGTTTTACTATGATCAGAAACCACAGAGGGCACAACAATGTAAAACAACTATACCCCAATAAAAAATAAATAAATTTAAATTAAAAAAAAAAAATTCTGCCAAAAAAAAAGAGAAACCACAGAGGGTCTTTCTCACCGTTTTTGCCAGGCTGCAAGCCTTTTCAGGAGAGTTTAGAATCTCATAGTAAAAGACGGAGAAATTAAGTGCCAGGCCCAGTCGAATTGGGTGTGTAGGCTGCATTTCTTTCTTACTAATTTCAAATGCTTCCTGGTAAGCCTGCTGGGAGTTTGACACAGTGGCTATAAGAAAGATAAAAAATATGAAAGGTTGGGTCTTTCACAGATTGCATCATATGCTGGATCCACTATCAAATTATTTTACCAAACTGGGCTGGAGCACATACGCTATCAAACGAGGGTCAGTGTCTCTACCATTCGATTAACAATCCTTTGTTAAATGTGTACTCTAATTCAAGTACCATATTAAATGCTTTGAGGAAAAACAAAGACCATGATGACAAAGTCTACAAAAGCAGTTAGGAAATACAGAAATAACCCTGAACAAGATAGAACATGGGAAACAATGAGCTCTGATGGAAAAATCATGGACTTCAGAGTCAGACTCAAAGCTGGAATCCCCAACTCTTATTCATTAAGTGTGTGGTTTGGACTAAGTGAAAACCTCTGTGAGCCTTGGTTTCCTTATCAGAAAAAAAGGACAGACTCCCACCTACACTCCTAGCGTTGTGTGAGGGATAAATGAGACACACAGGAGGCACTTAATAAAGCATAGCTATAATTGTCACCATTACACTAATGCATGTATATGACAAGAGAAATGCATCTCTATTTACTATGATGGTTTCATTCTACCAAACATTTTAAAGTTTCACCTCTAAAAGAGAGCTACCAAATAATCCTTAAAATAAAGATCTCTTCAAATGCACTACTGCACCACACTTTTAATGCCCTCCATACTTGCCCCTTAGGTACATTTGTCAACTCCCATGACCCTGTTTAACACTGGCCAGCACAATGCTGTGGTCCTTTAAATTCTGACTACAAACAAAGCAAAAACTTAAAATTATTATGAAGACTGGCTCCATTATTGGTGAAATTTCTTAAAAAAAAAAAAAGTTACTTACTTTGTTTATTGTCTCCAGATGCCACCTCAGAAAGATATCTAAAATAATCGCCTTTCATTTTCAAGTAGAACACCTTACTTTCTGGTTGTGTAGCATTGGGAATAAGGTATTTGTCCAACAGCTCCTAAAAAGTGATTCACTTTCTGTTAAGAATCTGGAAATATTACTTACAAGATGTTAAAACTATGTTTGAGATTCAAGATACACACTACCACTTCTAAATAAATTTTTTGGAAGATTGAAAAAAATCATAATTTTCATCCAAAGGTTTTAAATAGTTTTTAGCCCAGGTCGTAACAGATGCCAGTATTTGTCTATTAAAAATCACTTTGACCGTCCATAAGGGGTTGATTAAAGTATAGCCATACAATGGAATGCTACATAGGCATTTGGAAAGGTTCTCCAAAAGAAGTCTGGGGAGGGGGCGGGGGGCGGGGGAGGAAGCAGATAATAAAAACCATGTGACTCCTATTTTAATATTAAAATAGATATGTGTACATGCACGGAAATACCTAAGGGAAAAGTCTGGAAGAATATTTATCAAGATGCTAATAATGGTTCTCTAGGTGGTAGAATTAGAAGTGATTTTTTTATTTTCTTATTTATACTCTTCTGCCCTGTGCTTTTTTTTTAAAAAAACATGAACTTGTATTAATTCTGTAATTAGAGAGAAAAAAAAAATCTTTCCATTTTGGGAGAAAAAAACGTGATAATAGGGCAAACCTGCCAAGAACTAAGTTTCGAATTGATCGGACCTGGGTAGAAATCCCTCCTCTGCTGCTTACTATCTGCATGACCCTGGACAAATGACCTAATCGCCCTGAGCCTCAGTTTCTTCAGCTACACACAGGGAAGCATTAGCCACCTCCCAGCGTACTTATGAGGATAAATGAGCCAATGTTCACAAAGTGCTTAACACGCCGCCTGGCACGCAGTAAGCACTCCAAAAGTAGCTAATACTATTATTAATAATAAATTCCTTTAAACATTTATGCTTACAACAAAAGCAGTTCTGAAGGAGTCCAAGCTTCGTATACAGAGCAATATTTTCGAAGAGTTGTTTTAGAATGTGGCATCCTGAAAAACTGGTTAAGAGGCAGTAAGTACCATGCTTTTCTTCACATTCTTTCAGATGCTCATAAAAGCTGGTCTACAGTTCAGGAATTAGGGAACTTTCTTGCCTTTGGAATGCATGCCATACTTCATCTGAATACCAGATGTACCTAACATTCAGGAATTAGTGCACCGTTAACAAACCCCCAAATTACCAACAGGCAACAAATTTAGCCATGACACTCTTACACCACGACTCTAACAGAAAGAGCAGCTCAATGCAAAAGCTTAGTTGTAACGGGATTTAATCAATCAAAGTGAGAAGATGCAGGGGGCAGTAGTCGTTTTAATATTCCTTGCAGACAGACAGGGTGTAACTCCTTATGGGTTAGGGATGAGTACTGCCTGGAGGCTGACAAGCTTTGTACTGGTTTTCAAAAGAAAGGTGTCAAGGGCAGTAACTCGGAGAGGCAGCCAGCAGGGGAGGAGGTAGATCCACAAGTGTGAATTCCTTTTCCCTTCAAAGCAGCCCTCACTGTTCATTTTTACCTGATTTCACCTGGAAGAAAAAGAAAGTTCCCAGTGGGCTCAGGATGTGAGGGAAAGACAATATGATCATGATTTGCTCTAGGATATGCACCCCTCCCATCCAACCCCAGACTGTGGCTCAAGGGAAAGCAGTTAGGAATCAGTCGTCTGACTAAGGCTTATATAAAACACCAGAGAGGAGAATCCCCAAACCACTTCTGAATTGCCTTCGGAATGCAGGCCCGAACTGATGGACACGGCTACCTTTTGGACAAAAACTGGACTCCACGCTGTGCAGGGACTGGGGAGGGGCTAAAAGGCAGGTCGGCTTTCTGCTCCTCTCTCCCCTCCTGGAGATGGCACTGCCATCAGACTAATACAGAGAATAGCCTCTCTGTGGCTGCATCTATCAAAAATCCTGCCTCTCTGGCCTCAACTTCTAAAGAAAAGATGGAGGGATGCTGACCAAATGTACCTGTTTTTCAGAGGTCTTTGGAAGGGAGAGGAAAATACTCCATAAGAGACGAGCAACCTCTGATCAGGTAAGAGGTAAGAAAAAAATCACATCGTATGCTTAAAACTTAGCTGCAAATGGTTTGCAGCTTCCCAGTGTATTCAGACACCTTCCTCTCATGAGCTGTTTGAGAGTTCGCATTCGTACATGAAATGAACACTAGCAGAAACCGCTGTTTAGAACACGAACGCCGGCCTCTTACCAGAACATCATTGCAGATGTCCTGCAGCTCCGCCTCGATCTTCTCACGGTACTCCTTGCCCATCTGCTGCTTCTTCTCGTTCCTCTCTGTTTTCTGTTCGATGCTGGAGATGACACGCCAGGAAGAACGACGGGCACCGACCACATTCTTGTAGGCAACAGACAGCAGGTTTCTCTCCTCGTTGGAGAGCTCGTGCCCCTGCTCTGTGACTGCCTTCATGGCCGCAGCCATGTCATCGTAGCGCTCCGCCTGCTCGGCGAGTTTGGCTTTCTGTACCAGCTCACTTTTATCCATGGTCATTCCCTAGAACAAGAGCAAGAGAAAAAGAGAGAGAAAGCGAATGTCAGGCTTTGGGGCCCAGGAGATGCATGCATGAATCTTCTTCCAACCCATCTGGAAGGAAACTTACCTAAATGGGAAGCATCTACTTCCAAATGCCCTCAGTAATATCGAGCATGAACGCCTGCAGGGTTAGGTACTTTGCTATGGTCTTTTTTACTATTTTGGTCAATTTTCCCAACAGTCCTACAGGGCAGATATGTTCACAACAATCCTGCCCCCCTCTATGAGGTGAAGAAATGGAGGTTCAGAGGAGGCAAGTGGTGTGCCCAGGGCTAGGAGGTGGCAGAGAGCCAGAACTCAAACTCAAGTCTCTGTCTCTCGAGTTGTTTTCTTCCACTTTCCTAATCTGCCTCCTCAATGCACAGAGACGGCTTAATTCTTTAGAAGCTTATGTTAAATATATGTCCTTTTCTTCTTTCGAGAATTATCTGGTTTTGCTGTTTTTCCCCAAAGTATGTGGAAAAACACCTGAAGTGGGACGACTGTTTCAATCAATGTTAAAGCAAAAGGTATGACTTTCAGTGTTATATTTGGCAGTGCCCATGAAGCAACAGGTACCTAAAAAATAGGAGCCATTTTTATCACATCTTCTGCAACGCACTAAATTTGTTACAAGGACACACTGTTCACGAGAGCATAGACTTGAGGCAGGCAGATTTGGCTCTACCTAGCACCAGCTCTGCTACTTACAAGTGGCATGACCTTGGTCAAATCACTCAGCCTCCGAGAGCTTCCGTTTCCTAACTGGAGAATAAGAATATTCCCAACTCTCCAAGGTCCACTGTGAGGCGCGAATGACCTCATCTATGTGAAGACACTGTGAAAAGTCTAGACATTATATACAAATATCAAGCACTAACTCTGTACGTGGTACAGGTTGCAAGAGATATGGGTGTATTCACCAAGATGCACAGCAACAGAAATGCAAACCATAATTGAGTTTGCACAAAAGTTTTCCTGAAATAGACAAAAATCTTAGTGATTTCAGTTTATCATTTTATCAAACCCTCTATACACCAATCAGTGAATACCTCTTAAATAATTCACCTCATCTTAGTCAATTCCCCACTATAATAATCACCATTAATAGAGTGCAATAATTTTTGGATAACACGTAGCTAAAAAATTATTTATTAACCAATAAGAGTTAGTTTTATGTACTGCTGGTTTAAATTTCAATTGTATATCCACCTGTGCCACAGTGTAAAAATACACTAATATCTTAAGGTGTAAAAAGATAAAATACTACTTTAAAGAGTGGTAAGAATATCAATATTTTTAAAACAAATTCTCTTATCACTTTATACATTGTATCACAATTCGGGGGAAAAAAAAAAAAAAAAAAAGACTGTGGCTTCGCCTCAAAAGTCATTTCTGTATTTTCAAGGGAGAAATTCTACATACAGGACCCTACCACAAAAAAAAGTTTTATTAGATGGAGGACGATTTTAAGATACACCCTAAATCTAGACAATTCAGAAAGAGTTGGTTCTCTAGTTCAGAACTGTGAGTTTTCTTCCCACAACTTATTATCTAAATCATATTCAGAGCTGTGTCCTATGTAAGGCTTGCTGATTCTAACCTTACACTCTGAAGCAGATCTCACCTTGATACGTCTGACTTCACCCACATCACCAGAATGAGACTACAACAGGGATAATAATCCATCCACTCTCCTACATTTCCCAGCAACCCTTCTGCACTTCGGAGGGGTCATACAGTTAGTTCTGTCCAATGAAACATAAGCATAAATGACGCTACTTCCAGGTGTTGAAACTGCAAAAAAACACGCGAGGCTCTCTTCTCTCACGGCAGCCATGCGATCTAGATGGTGCTGTCACAAAACAGCAGTTTCTGTAGCCTGAGTCCCTGAGTGACCATGCAGTAGAGACCCCTGCAGGACCGCACTGGACGTGCAACATGAAGCCACTGAGATGTGGGGGCTGCTTGTTACGACACACAACACAACCTAGTCCTACTCTAATACAAAGTCCATCGCAAATATACTACTCATCCTCTTAAAATTATATACTTCCTCCATACGTCTTTCTCTCTCAATCATAACATCTTTCTGATCAGGATACTATCTCCATCTTTAAACAACCCTACTTTATGATCCCTAAAAGTGAGAGGCAGAAGGAAGCCAACTTTCAACGAACTTTAGAAGTTTTCCAGTTTGCAGACTAATTCATAGTTAGAAGTCACCTAGTGGCCCACTCCAAAGTACAGAAACAGCACCTGTGCAACTCTACCCAGGAAAGATTCCAATTAATAAAAGTCCTGGTCAAAGCCAATTCAACGCTAAGCTATCCCATGCAGTATTACAAAAGAGTACTAGAGAAATGCAATTAGCACTGCCTAAGGGATGCCATGAAACTCTTTGGCTCTACCAGGCCCCTCAACTAAGGTCCCCTCAACCCCCCGACTTCTCTTCCCAAACATTAAAAGTTAAATCATCTCTCTCCCAAGAATCCCGACGACTCCTTGGGAACTCCCAAATGTACGCGCCCTATTTCTCAAAATAAAATGTGGCCTTTCTTGTTTGGGGCCAACTATTTCAGGCTTCTTTGGGATCACTGCAAGAGCTCTTGGAGACTGAGAACCACGATGATATGGTAAAACTGAATGCATGCCTTAAAGAATGTAGTCATCTATTTAAAAAACTTTAAACACACACACACACACCCAACAACTTACAACAAACAAAATCCATAGCTAAATGTCCTGATGCCTACTGCTTACATAACTTTTGACTTATATAACATGAATTTTGAAGCAGCTAGACCAATTTCAACAGGAAATGGGTTACACAACACCCAGCGTTTAGAGGAAGGCAGCAGACAAGGGAGAAATGAAATTGTTCCTATTTCTACATCCCTAATAAACCTCCCATCCATCATCTTTCCCT